GGAGGAGAAGAATACATTGAGGCCAAGGAAAGAGAGAAAAGTAAGAAGATGATGGAAGATGATATTTCGAGGACAGAACTTAGAATATAACCTTTTGAAGAATACTGATATGTCAACAACAAGAAAGAGCAGGACCAAGAAACGCTCAGAAAACTCAAGCAAATACAGCTGGGGGAGAAGAAGAAGGAGAAGAGAAGCTTTGGTTATGAAGAATCAGGGTGAACCAAATCAACAGTCACTGCCACAGCTTCAACAGGACCAGTTCCAATCGCAATTGTATCAGCCACCAATAGCGGTTCCAGTTGTTCCATATCCACAGCCAGTTTCTGGACAGACACAGAATTGGAGAGGAAGAGGACGAGAAGGCTTAGAAGGAGGAGGAAGGTTTCAGCTACACTTCCAGCAACTTTCAGAAGTGTGTTATAATTGTGGACAGGTTGGTTACTTTACCTGTGAGTGCAATGCGCCAGGAGGAAACAACAGAGGGAATTTCTGAGGAAGATAAAGGAGCAAGTGAAGATCACCTGCTCTCCAGGTGAACCCTTAAAGGAGCAAGGATTCTAGAGTGCCTAGAATATCCGAAGGGGGGTGTCAGCTGGTAGCACCAATTAGAGAAAAATATCCAACAATTGAAGTGAAAATAAAAAGGACTATGAGAAGTGATGGTGATAGTGGAAAAGCTTTTATCTGTGTTGAGCCTAAAGAGGTTAAACATCTCACTATGTAAAATTAACTAATTAGGATAGGGATTTGAGGGAGTAAAACAGCTGATTACTCTTAAGGAACCAATTGAGCTCTGCTATAAAAAATCAAAGAGAAATTAAAATACACATACTGGTATCAGAACATATACCTATTGCATTGTTGGGAAGAGATGCATTGTGTAAATTGAACTGTACAATAAGATGTACACTAGACGGCTGTCTGGTAGAAGATTTTAAAAGAGTAGGGTTTTTGGGAATCATATTTGCTTGAAAAGATAATGTCCTCCTTCCTATGATAATCTATTAGACTACATATTAGACAATCTGTCTGAAAAATAAAGTTAAAATGGGTGACAGTTATTCTTGGTTACATTCCTACACCAAGAGGTGCAAGAGATTTCAAACTAGGCTAAAATATGTTCGATCGTTTGCCAAGACTGTGTGTGAAGAAGTCAGAAGCAGGTGGGGATTACCCAATCACATATTCTAAAAATTGGTGGTAATGGCTTTTGTGAATAAATCAGTGGAAAAGGTTTTTAAAGGTTAGGAGAAAAGATTAGATTAAAAAAGTTAGGAAAACTAGGGATGAAGGAACTCTAGGACAGTAAGCTAAGTTTCAATGTTAGTAGGAAGAGAGAGTGAATGTAGTGACACTAGTGGTGATAGATGGAAATACAAGTAAGGAGTTAAAAGTCTTAGGGAGAATGGATGAAGTAACAACAAGGACATCAACACTTCAGTCTATTATAACAACAGTGGGAAGCAATTTAACTCTTTCAACATTGATATTTATTAAAGCCATAAATATATTGCATTTGATTACAAGGGAGCAGATAACTCCAGCACCAATTTTAGAGGAATTTCATAGTCTGGGAAGCCTATCATTGGAGGATAAGTCTAAGAGAGAAGTGGGGATTTTTCCATGGTATGGTGTAAAATTTGGGAAGATCATATTGATAATATTAGCTATACTTTGATTCCAGATAGTTCAGATAATATCACTAGTGTTATAGATGCATTGAAGAATATAAGGGATGCATTTGGTAGATCTGAAGGAGCTGGATGGTCAGCGAAGTCTTGGTTGCAAGATCAGTTAGGCCCAGTGGGAGCAGTGATGGTTCAGATTTTAATAGCAGCTTTGATAGCACTGTGTGTGATGTTTTTCTTTTGTAATTTGTTACTGACCTTTGAGAAAGCTATGATATTGAGATGGGTTGGAGTTGTGATGCCTGGAGACAACACTCAGATGCCGTTGTTGACTGTTCCTGATCTGGATGAAGAGGGACAAGTGGGACTGGATGGAGTATTGATGGATAAATATCCTTTTTGATTATTTGATCATTTTTTAAATGTTTTTCAATATTAGTGTGATTTTAGTATTTTGTTATGAATCAAAGGGGGGAAATAGGATATATTGATTCATATATCAATTATATATCATTTTTTATATTCTTAGTTGATATTGATGTTTTAATTTGAAAGTGTTGTTTTGCAAAAGATACTGTTTGGTCTTTTCTTTTTGTCCAGAAGCATTTGGGGGAATATGTAGAGATTGAAATACTCAAACAAGGACAATATGAAAGGACAATATGAAAGGAGAATATGAAGGGACTGGAGGAGATGGAACAAGGAAGGTGTGGAAATGTTCCAATTCCATCATCAACGATGCATTGGAAGTTGACACTGCTGGGGAGATGAAGTGTAGTGGACTACATTCCAGTGTCTGCAATGAAATATAGACATATTTGCATGTGTAATACATAATTTGTGTCATATTCTTTCTGTATTAATTTTTGTAGAATGATATTTGATGTTATTGAATACATGTGGGGATCTTAGATGTTTTTGTTTATTTCGTGAATGCTTAGGGACATGGAGTCTAGGCAGGGATAGAGATAATCCACCGTAGGGTCCGATGGGTCGACCAGCCTTAGTGTGGATATTTTTTGGATAGTATTTTGTTTGCTGGGGCTTTCATGTGTATTTAATTGCATCATAGTTTCAAATGCATTGATAAAGATTTATGAATTGATCTGGAGTACCTAGGTGGTTGCCTGGGGCAGAGGGGCCGTGAGAGAATTTTACTGTCTTGATTGATGGATGGATATTTGGAAAGAAGGCTGCCAGACAGGTTTTTCGCTCTCACACTCCATAAAGATTTGTTCATATTTCATAGTAATGTATTCACACTCCATAAAGATTTGTTCATATTTCATAGTAATGTATTCACACTCCATAAAGATTTGTTCATATTTCATAGAAATGTATTTACACTCCAGAGAAAAGTGTTTTGGGTTTATTGTTAAAGATACTCAATAAGAGAAATTGTTACTTGTCATAATCCTATTCTGTTTGTTTTCGAGACTTTTAGTTAGTCTCGAAGGGGGGAATGTAGTATATGAAGAATTATGAGTTTGCTAATGTTTTCAAGTGGAACCTGAGAGGATGTTTATTTAGTGTCAGAGGGAATTGTTTTGTAGTGACACCCCTGTTCGTTGGAGACAGGTGATTGGACAGTAGAGGGAGCCACCCATATTTTTGTATATCTTATAAGTATAGGCTAGAGACAGAGAACGTTAGAGCAGACATTGTAATTTGGAGGACACTGCTCTCCAGATGCTATATACATCTGTACACTTATGCTGAAATCTTGTGATATGAATAAAACTTATGATCAAAGTTCAGTATAAGCGGACTCCTTTGTTTAACAGCAATGATTAGCAACATTGACTCGACACTACAGTTGTAATGTTGAAAAAGCCATGCCCGCACACCCAGAAGCTCTCCAGATGGAGGGATGACCACATGTTGACAAGGTGACTAACAGTGCAGTTCTATGTGGGGGGCTAAGTGCCTTGATCAAGGGCACAACGGCAGGAGGTTGTAGGTCTACATGGGATCAGACACAGCAGCTTTCCAGTGTCAGTAATGCTTACTTTTTCATGTAGGCTATAATAATAGTCATGAAAATGTAGTTAGAAGACATGGTAAATGTGTATAAACCGTTAACAGTGAATAAACAGAGGTATCTATAGCATAATGTAATTTGTGAATTTCGGTGAACATAGTCTAATGGATTGACTTGGAAAAAGACAGCTCCTGCACTTCTTCCATCCCAAGTCAAGCACTGGTGTTAATTAACTACAGTCCCAGTTCATTGTCTGACACACTCTTTTACACACACACACACACACACACACACACACACACACACACACACACACACACACACACACACACACACACACACACACACACACACACACACACACACACACACACACACACACACACACACACACACACACACACACACGTGGCAGAGGCAGGACATCGTGGCAACGACCTTTGTACCAAACAGGCAGCAGTCATGTGTGCTGTACTTTCAGGTTCCTATCTCTTCCTGTTTAACTGGTGAGACTGAGACCAAGAACAGAGGTGAGTGACTAAACAAGCATACATGCATCCATCCAAAGAGGATCTCCTCAGAGGAAAGGTCTTCCAACTATGTAGAATGAAGTTTTGTTGTTTAACAACCAGCGTTTGCAACTATTTACTGTATACTGGAAATCCCTGCTCATGATTTTAAAGTTCCACATCTCTGTTGTGTATAGGAGACACTGGCTATTGTTTGATCTTCCTGTTTGTATTTGTTTTAAATTCTTGATTACAGTAGGTGAGGAGGTGCTGTATTCCTTTCTATGGTTTGATTGAAATAGCAAGTGCTTGTTATGCTTAGGTAGTGCATTATATATTATATTTATATTATAATGAAGACAATAAGGCAGATGCTGTATGTGGAGAAATATGGGAGATGAATGAGACTGTAGGTAGGTGTGTTTATTTAGGAGATACTGAAGCAATTTAAGGTGACCAGGCATGGTGTAGTTATAACAGAACATTTAAAGTGGGTGGAACTTGAAAATGGTCGTAAAATTAGAACTTAGTAAAGGTGGTAGTCATAAAGTTTAATGCTCATCATAAAGCACTGTTACGTATTTAGAATATTTTCTGTCTGATTTAATTATATTAATCAAATAACATTGAATGGCTTCTAAAATACATTGATTGTCTTCTAAATAGTGATAGCAAGGGATTCATTATAATTCTACTGCTTCCTTTCAACTCACTGTTTCTCTTCTAGCCCTGAGGGATAGTAAAACCTCTTTTAGCTGCGCAGTCAGGCTTACATCTCCTCTCAGTTGGCCTCTAATAACACACACACACACAACTGTAGAAGCAGGGGATTGCCCTTATTTGGTGCCAGCCTGGGTCATGTGACCACAAAATGGTGGAAGCTGTGAGCTGTTTGTAAACTGAGCATCTCTACCAAGAGCCTTGGAGGAATAGAAAGACAGCTGAAATCCATGCTCTGAGACAGAGAAGGACAGAGATTCCTGTGCCCCAGTAGTGGTGAGTGGATGGGTTAAATGTGATGCAGTTAAAGAAAAAGGACAAGAGAGAGATGTATTTATTTTCTAGAGACAGGAAGAGAGGGAGAGAGAGGGAGGGGCTGCTGTCATCAGCACTGTGTTCCTGTGCTGCAGTGTTTGTATTAGGTGGTTCAGCATCGTCCATGGAGCAAAGCAGCTGATGCTGGTCTTGCTATACCAACCGTATGTGTAATTCATCTTTGCTGTTCGGAATTCAGCTATTCTAATCAGCATGTTTCTTTTTGTTACATTTGCTAATGCAATCAGATTTTTTCTTCTCCCATGTGAAAGAGAAACTAGGATCAGTTTAGTATTTTCATGTGCGTGAGTGCATATGACGGTTGGTTCATTTGCATCTGTGCCCAATCTGTGCTCGAGAGAGAGCGTGGACATTTGAATCAGCAGAGGAGAGGGGGAAAAGAGGAGAGAGGGAGGAGAGGAGAGAGGGAGGAGAGGAGAGAGGGACGAGAATGGGCTGCTGATGATGTAACAGCTTTACCCTCCTTCCTCCCCATCCCTCTCTCTGCCTCCTGCAAGAACGGATGGATGGATAATTCACAGCGGAGGAGGAGAGATCTGATGACCTTTACCCCCAACACACTCCCTCCCCTCTCCCCACTCTCTTCCCCCCCTTCTTCCTCTTCCTCCACTCCCCCCTCCTTCCACTCCCCCTTCTCCCGCTCCCCCCTCTCATCACCCGCTCCCCACTCCTTCCCCACTCCCCACCACTCTTCTCCCTCCTACCCCCTCTTCCTTCCCACTCCCCACCACTCCCCCACCCCACACTCTTCCCTCCACCCCGTCCCTCTGCTCCCACTCCCACACTCTTCTCCCAGCTCCCCCCCTCTTCCTCCCACTCCCCACCCCTCTTCCCTCCCCCCTCTTCCTCCACTCCCCCCCTCTTCCTCCACCTCCCCCCTCCTTCCCTCCTCTACCTCCCACTCCCTCTTTTCCTCCATCCCCCCTCTTCCTCCACTCCCCCTCTTCCTCCTCCCCACTTCCCCCCCTCCCTCTCTCTCCCCTCCCCTCCTCTTCCTCCCACTCCCCCCTCTCTTCTCCCTCCTCTCCCCACTCCTCTTCCTCCACTCCCCCTCTTCCTCCCACTCCCCACTCTTTTCTCCCTCCCCCCCACTCTCTTCTCCCCCCACTCCTCCTCTTTCCTCCCACTCCCCTCCCCTTCCTCCCCTCCCCCTCTTCCTCCCACTCCCCCTCCCTCCACTCCCCCTCCTCTTCCCCTCCCCTCTCTTCTCTCCCCCTCCACCCCCCTCTCTTCCCCTCCCCTCTTCTCCTTCCTCCCACTCCCTCCCCCTCTTCCTTCCTCCCCTCCCTCCCTCCTCTTCCTCCACTCCCCTCTTGCCTCCCACTCCCCCCTCTTCCTCCCCTCCCCACCCCCCACCCTCTTCTCCCTCTCCCCCACTCTCTTCTCCCACACCAGAGGAGTTGGCGCCTCCCACCAGCCTCCTCTGACATGCACAAACTCACACATTCGCACACACACACACACACACACACACACACACACACACACACACACACACACACACACACACACACACACACACACACACACACAAGCACACACATACACACACCACACACACTGTGTATTGAGTCTGTATTCAGTATGTCACTGGTCTCCTCTGTGTTCTCTTCAGGTTCCCCTGGGTGATGAAGGCATGGACCTGGCGTCTCACAGTAAGATGAGCTCAGAGGGGGCCGAGGGCAGACCAGGTGAACCTCAGACACTGGCAACTCTGTGTGTGATGATAGGTTATTATTCCACCATTACTCTTTGGCTACCTGCAGGACTGAGGGTTATATGTTAAAATCCTACGCACGAACTGCCGACATTATTACGCATATTAATTGATAATGATGGAAAATAAGATATGCAACATATTTGAATAGATATATATTTTTAAATAGTTACAGTGGGGAGAACAAGTATTTGATACACTGCCGATTTTGCAGGTTTTCCTACTTACAAAGCATGTAGAGGTCTGTAATTTTTATCATAGGTACACTTAAAAAATCCAGAAAATCACATTGTATGATTTTTAAATAATTAATTTGCATTTTATTGCATGACATAAGTATTTGATCACCTACCAACCAGTAAGAATTCCGGCTCTCACAGACCTGTTAGTTTTCTTTAAGAAGCCCTCCTGTTCTCCACTCATTACCTGTATTAACTGCACCTGTTTGAACTCGTTACCTGTATAAAAGACACCTGTCCACACACTCAATCAAACAGACTCCAACCTCTCCACAATGGCCAAGACCAGAGAGCTGTGTAAGGACATCAGGGATAAAATTGTAGACCTGCACAAGGCTGGGATGGGCTACAGGACAATAGGCAAGCAGCTTGGTGAGAAGGCAACAACTGTTGGCGCAATTATTAGAAAATGGAAGAAGTTCAAGATGACGGTCAATCACACTCGGTCTGGGGCTCCATGCAAGATCTCACCTCGTGGGGCATCAATGATCATGAGGAAGGCGAGGGATCAGCCCAGAACTACATGGCAGGACCTGGTCAATGACCTGAAGAGAGCTGGGACCACAGTCTCAAAGAAAACCATTAGTAACACACATGACCTTCTCCCATTCCTCCTCTGGATCATCCAGATGGTCATGGATTAAAATCCTGCAGCGCACGCAAGGTCCCCCTGCTCAAGCCAGCGCATGTCCAGGCCCGTCTGAAGTTTGCCAATGACCATCTGGATGATCCAGAGGAGGAATGGGAGAAGGTCATGTGGTCTGATGAGACAAAAATAGAGCTTTTTGGTCTAAACTCCACTCGCCGTGTTTGGAGGAAGAAGAAGGATGAGTACAACCCCAAGAACACTATCCCAACCGTGAAGCATGGAGGTGGAAACATCATTCTTTGGGGATGCTTTTCTGCAAAGGGGACAGGACGACTGCACCGTATTGAGGGGAGGATGGATGGGGCCATGTATCGCGAGATCTTGGCCAACAACCTCCTTCCCTCAGTAAGAGCATTGAAGATGGGTCTTGGCTGGGTCTTCCAGCATGACAACGACCCGAAACACACAGCCAGGGCAACTAAGGAGTTGCTCCGTAAGAAGCATCTCAAGGTCCTGGAGTGGCCTAGCCAGTCTCCAGACCTGAACCCAATAGAAAATCTTTGGAGGGAGCTGAAAGTCCGTATTGCCCAGCGACAGCTCCGAAACCTGAAGGATCTGGAGAAGGTCTGTATGGAGGAGTGGGCCAAAATCCCTGCTGCAGTGTGTGCAAACCTGGTCAAGACCTACAGTAAACGTATGATATCTGTAATTGCAAACAAAGGTTTCTGTACAAAATATTAAGTTCTGCTTTTCTGATGTATCAAATACTTATGTCATGCAATAAAATGCAAATTAATTACTTAAAAATCATACAATGTGATTTTCTGGATTTTTGTTTTAGATTCCGTCTCTCACAGTTGAAGTGTACCTATGATAACAATTACAGACCTCTACATGCTTTGTAAGTAGGAAAACCTGCAAAATCGGCAGTGTATCAAATACTTGTTCTCCCCACTGCATAGATAGAGGTGACAGCATTGGAAATGCTTTTGGCGGTTAATCTGCTTCTGTTTTGTGCGTGGCACTGTGTGCTGTTTTCGATGGATGGGTCCTGGCCTCTCGGGGCCCTAGGGATCCGGAGGGATGTGGGTGGGTAGCAATGCAAATATCACGGTACAGCTATATGGACACTCAATCATTATGGTATTTTTTATTGGTAAATTTACAAACATATATAATGAAAAATAGACTTGAAACTTGTATCTCTGTATGGTGAAATAAGTATAGCCAGTTATAATTTTAATGGCTTAGCTGATCAAAAGAAGAACAATATTTACATGGCTCAAAGAGAAGGAATATAATATCTATTGTTTACAGGAAACTCATTCAACAATTCTAGATGAAGTTGTGTGGAAAAAGGAATGGGGGGGCGAGATATACTTCTCCCATGGGCAAAGAAATTCAAAAGGGGTGATGATATTAATTAATAGTAATTTCGAACCGAATGTGCAAATTGTCCAAATAGATATGCAAGGTAGATGGATTATTTTAAATATGTTATTGGACAATAAACAGATATGGCTCATTAACATTTACGGACCAAATAATGATGATCCACACTTCTTTGACAATATATATAATAAATTATCAACCCTGCAAGCAATTCAAGACAATATTATTATGGTGGGGGATTATAATATTGTTTTAAATAGCTCAATGGACCGTAAAGGAAATCACACCACAAACAATCAGACGGGCCTGGACATGCGCTGGCTTGAGCAGGGGGACCTTGCGTGCGCTGCAGGATTTTAATCCATGACGGCGTAGTGTGTTACTAATGGTTTTCTTTGAGACTGTGGTCCCAGCTCTCTTCAGGTCATTGACCAGGTCCTGCCGTGTAGTTCTGGGCTGATCCCTCACCTTCCTCATGATCATTGATGCCCCACAAGGTGAGATCTTGCATGAGACCCATTTTCAATGCCCTGGCTGAGGGAAGGAGGTTCTCACCCAAGATTTGACGGTACATGGCCCCGTCCATCGTCCCTTTGATGCGGTGAAGTTGTCCTGTCCCCTTAGCAGAAAAACACCCCCAAAGCATAATGTTTCCACCTCCATGTTTGACGGTGGGGATGGTGTTCTTGGGGTCATAGGCAGCATTCCTCCTCCTCCAAACACGGCGAGTTGAGTTGATGCCAAAGAGCTCGATTTTGGTCTCATCTGACCACAACACTTTCACCCAGTTCTCCTCTGAATCATTCAGTTGTTCATTGGCAAACTTCAGACGGGCCTGTATATGTGCTTTCTTGAGCAGGAGGTCCTTGCGGGCGCTGCAGGATTTCAGTCCTTCAGGGGCATAGTGTGTTACCAATTGTTTTCTTGGTGACTATGGTCCCAGCTGCCTTGAGATCATTGACAAGATCCTCCCGTGTAGTTCTGGGGTGATTCCTCACCGTTCTCATGATCATTGCAACTCCACGAGGTGAGATCTTGCATGGAGCCCCAGGCCGAGCGTGATTGACAGTTCTTTTGTGTTTCTATTATTTGAGAATAATCGCAACTGTTGTCACCTTCTCTGGTCTTGTAGCCCATTCCAGCCTTGTGTAGGTCTACAATCTTGTCCCTGACATCCTTGGAGAGCTCTTTGGTCTTGGCCATGGTGGGGAGTTTGGAATCTGATTGATTGATTGCTTCTGTGGACAGGTGTCTTTTATACAGGTAACAAGCTGAGATTAGGAGCACTCCCTTTAAGAGTGTGCTCCTAATCTCAGCTCGTTACCTGTATAAAAGACACCTGGGAGCCAGAAATCTTTCTGATTGAGAGGGGGTCAAATACTTATTTCCCTCATTAAAATGCAAATCAATTTATAACATTTTTGACATGCGTTTTTATGGATTTTGTTGTTGTTATTCTGTCTCTCACTGTTCAAATAAACCTACCATTAAAATGATAGACTAATCATTTCTTTGTCAGTGGGCAAACGTACAAAATCAGCAGGGGATCAAATACTTTTTTCCCTCACTGTAAGTGTTATTTAACACAGCTGACAACCAGCCAAAATGTCATAACCCACCACTCCACAAGAGATAAAGAGCGATAAAGAGAGATGGAACATTCTAACATTTCCAGTGACTCTTCCCCCTCCCTCCCTGTAGCCCCTCCCAACTCGCTTCCCCTGCAGGGCACGCCGGGTGGCCCCTCCCAAAGGAAGAAGCTCTCCGCCCCGCGTATCAGCCTTTCACTTGACCAGAGTGAAGAGGATGCCCTAGAGACGCCCGACGACCTGGATATTAACGTGGACGACCTGGACACACCTGACGACACAGACTATCTGGACTACACCGACACTGAGCTGGACTGGGAGGGTGAGTCAGTCTAGGAGTATGTCCCAAATGGCACTCTTAAGTGCACTTTACAGTATAGGGCCATTTCAGACACATACTAATACACCAAACAAGATATTCCGCCACTTGGGAAGCTGTAACAATTAAAATGAAAATTTGTTTCCCTATACCTAATTTCTCTGTAATAAAATGTTTGTTGTTGGATTTATAGTACGTCTGTGTTTTCTACTAGCTGTGTTTCTGCCTTTTGCCACAAACCAGAACCCCCGACAGCCAATCGTAACGCGTCAAAAGAGCCGTGCGAGCCGATTCCTACGTTCAGTGCAGCAGAGGAGCGTCAGGATGCGAAGCTGTGGAGGGCCGTGATCATCGGAGAGCAGGAACACCGCATCAACATGAAGATCATCGAGCCCTACCAGAGAGTTGTATCCCATGGAGGTACAGGAAAGTTCTGATTGTTGTTTGGTGTTTTTATACCTTATTCTATTTTATATACCTTCTTTTACCTCCTTTCTCTTGATGGGGTCTCCCATACAAAAGAGATTTTCATCTCATGCAACGTAAATCAGACATACAGTGACATACTGATGGCAGATGACAGAGAGAAATACAAACAAACTGAGAAATGAAACAGTCAAACACCCCACCCAAACACAACCCTCCCCACCCACCCCACGCATGATCTAGCCTCTGAGACAGGGTACTCTTGGAAACTGTTGTAGTGTGGGTCATATTTGAATATTTCTTTCGAAGTGTCGTTTTTCCTTCATCAGGGTACTATGGAAACGGAGTGAACGCCATCATAGTGTTTGCGGCGTGTTTCCTCCCGGACAGCGACAGTGAGGACTACCATGAAGTCATGGAGAACCTCTTCCTGTAAGTTACACCTATCCTCACTCTAATTAGTACTGACTTAGGCACCTTTTAAAGGCAATGTACGTGGAGATCACTGTAAATGCTGCATATTTCGGCACAATCTGAAATTACCTTTAAATGTCAAGTAAGCTACTGCTCAGATCTAGTGTTGATCGGAATGATTCCCGACCTTAGTCCCCTATCCCGAAACATATGCCTGTGACCTAACAAATACACCCATTATTTGTAGATTTATTTGATGGATATACTGATAACTAATTGCGTTTTATGGTTAAGTTCTCGTCTGTCTTTATTTCTAAGAAAAATTAACTTGAAGGGCAATGTTGTAACTATTCTACATGCACCTTCCAATCGTTCACTGTCATACTCCTCTCTTGTTCTTCAGTTCAGTCATATTTCAGATGCTTCTCTACTCGTTGGACATGTTTTAAATCATACACTAGAATCTAGTGACTAGATTCATTTACATTTGACATTTTAGTCATTTAGCAGATGCTCTTATCCACAGCGACTTACAATTAGTGCATTCATCTTAAGATAGCTAGGCAACCACATATCACAGTCGTAGTAAGTACATTTTCCCTCAATAAATAGTTATCACCAAAGTCAGTGCTAATAGATTGATGTGTACTTGCCCTGCTGTATGTCCTGCTGGCAGGTATGTGATCAGCACATTGGAGCTGATGGTGGCAGAGGACTATATGATTGTCTATCTGAATGGAGCCACGCCCCACAGGAGGATGCCTGGAATGGGCTGGCTCAAGAAGTGCTACCAGATGATTGACAGGAGGTAGATTGCTTTTTACAATGTTTGATTCATGAATGAATGGATGGATGGATTAATTCTATTTTTAGTATGAAAAAGTGCAAGGGGATATAGTCAGGCCCACGGGATAAAATGTGATAGGATTAAAGTGTACTTATTTCCCATGTGGTCAACTGTAATAACATTGTATCATGCCACATCACACAAACATACTCAATATGATAATTTTTATGAATGTTTGGTTACAGGCTCAGGAAGAATTTGAAATCCTTCATCATTGTCCACCCGACCTGGTTTATACGGACCATCCTAGCCATCACCAGGCCCTTCATCAGGTAAGTACACATATACAGTGCTTTCAGAAAGTATTCACACCCCTGGACTTTTTCCACGTTTTGTTGTTACAAAGTGGGATTAAAATAGATTTAATTGTCTTTTTTTTTGTCAACGATCTACACAAAATCCTCTAATGTCAAAGTGCAAGAAAAATTATAACATTTGTAAAAAATATGAAAAATAAAAACACTAATAAATCTTGATATATTAAATCACTTTTGGCAGTGATTACAGTTGTGAGACTTTCAGGGTAGGTCTCTAAGAGCTTTCCACACCTGGGTTGTGCAACATTTGGCCATTATTATTTAAAAATTATTCACGCTCCAAATTGGTTGTTGAGCATTGCTAGACAACCATTTTCAGGTCTTGCCATAGATTTTCAAGTAGATTTAATTCAAAACTGTAACTCGGCCACTCAGGAACATTCACTGTCTTCTTGGTAAGCAACTCTACTAGTGTTTGCCCTTGTGTTTTAGGTTATTGTCCAGCTGAAAGGCGAATTAATCTCCCAGTGTCTGGTGGAAAGCAAACTGAACCAGGTTTTCCTCTAGGATTTTGCCTGTGCCTCGCTCCATTACATTATTTTTTTATCCTGAAAAACTCCCCAGTCCTTAACGATCACAAGCAAACCCATAACATGATGCAGCCACCACTATGGTTGAAAATATGGAGAGTGGTACTCAGTAATGTGTTGTATTGGATTTGCCCCAAAACATACATTTACATTTTTAGTCATTTAGCAGACGCTCTTATCCAGAGCGACTTACAGTTAGTGAATACATATATATCTTTTTTTTATACTGGCCCCCCGTCTATTCAAATGACTTGTCAAGCAAATGTTTACTCCTGAACTTATTTAGGCTTGCCATAACAAAGTGGTTGAATACTTGACTCAAGACATTTCAGCTTTTCATTTTTAATAAATTTGTTTAAAACATTTCTAACAACATAATTCCACTTTGACATTATGGGGTATTGTGTGTAGGCCAGTGACAAAATATCTCTATTTAATCCATTTTAAATTCAGGCTGTAACACAACAAAATGTGGAGAAAGTCAAGGTGTGTGAATACTTCCTGAAAGCGCTGTATACACTGAGTGTACAAAACACCTGCTCTTTCCATGACAGACTGACCAGGTGAATCCATGTGAAAGCTATGATCCCTTGTTGATGTCACCTGTTAAATCCACTTGAAATCAGTGTAGATGAAGGGGAGGAGACAGGTTAAAGAAGGATTTTTATGCCTTGAGACAATTGAGACATGGATTGTGTATGTGTGCCAGTCAAAGGGTGAATGGGCAAGACAAAATATATAAGTGCCTTTGAACGGGGTATGGTAGTAGGTGCCAGGCACACTGGCTTGTGTCAAGAACTGCAACGCTGCTGGGTTTTTCACCCTTAACAGTTTCCTGAGTGTATATCAAGAATGGTCCGCTACCCAAAGGACATCCAGCCAACTTGACACGACTGTGGGAAGCATTGGAGTCAACGTCGGCCAGCATCCCTGTGGAACGCTTGACACCTTGTAGAGTCCATGCCCCAACGAATTGAGGCTGTTCTGAGGGCAAAAAGGGGGTGCAACTCAATATTAGGAAGGTGTTCCTAAGGTTTTGTACACTCAGTGTACATTTCTCTGTTCAAATAAAATAATCTGGTAGATAAAGATAGCACGAGTGTGCACGTCCACTTACGTATGCGTGTTTGTGTGTTTTGTCACAGCACCAAGTTCAGCAATAAGATAAAGTACGTGAACAGCCTGGCTGAGCTGCAGGAACTCATCCCCATGGAGTACGTCCACATCCCAGAGTGCATCATTAGGTGAGCCCAGTCTACAGTCGTGGTCAAAAGTTTTGAGAATGACACAAATATTAATTTTCACAAAGTCTGCTGCCTCAGTTTTTATGATGGCAATTTGCATATACTCCAGAATGTTATGAAGAGTGATCAGATGAATTGCAATTAATTGCAAAGTCCCTCTTTGCCATGAAAATGAACTTAATCCCCCCCCAAAAACATTTCCACTGCATTTCAGCCCTGCCACAAAAGGACCAGCTGACATCATGTCAGTGATTCTCTCGTTAACACAGGTGAGAGTGTTGACGAGGACAAGGCTGGAGATCACTCTGTCATGCTGATTGAGTTAGAATAACAGACTGGAATCTTTAAAAGGAGGGTGCCTGAAATCATTGTTCTTCCTCTGTTAACCATGGTTACCTGCAAGGAAACACGTGCCGTCATCATTGCTTTGCACCTAAATCAACCATTTATCGGATCATCAAGAACTTCAAGGAGAGAGGTTCAATTGTTGTGAAGAAGGCTTCAGGGCGCCCAAGAAAGTCCAGCAAGCGCCAGGACCGTCTCCTAAAGTTGATTCAGCTGCGGGATCGGGGCACCACCAGTGCAGAGCTTGCTCAGGAATGGCAGCAGGCAGGTGTGAGTGCATCTGCATGCACAGTGAGGTGAATACTTTTTGAGGATTGCTTGGTGTCAAGAAGGGCAGCGAGGAAGCCACTTCTCTCCAGGAAAAACATCAGGGACAGACTGATATTCTGCAAAAGGTACAGGGATTGGACTGCTGAGGACTGGGGTAAAGTCATTTTCTCTGATGAATCCCCTTTCCGATTGTTTGGGGCATCCGGAAAAAAGCTTGTCTGGAGAAGACAAGGTGAGCGCTACCATCAGTCCTGTGTCATGCCAACAGTAAAGCATCCTGAGACCATTCATGTGTGGGGTTGCTTCTCAGCCAAGGGAGTGGGCTCACTCACAATTTTGCCTAAGAACACAGCCATGAATAAAGAATGGTATCAACACATTCTCCGAGAGCAACTTCTCCCAACCATCCAAGAACAGTTTGGTGACGAACAATGCTTTTTCCAGCATGATGGAGCACCTTGCCATAAGCCAAAAGTGATAACTAAGTGGCTCGGGGAACAAAACATCGAAATGTTGGGGCCATGGCCAGGAAACTCCCCAGACCTTAATCCCATTGAGAACTTGTGGTCAATCCTCAAGAGGCGGGTGGACAAACAAAAACCCACAAATTCTGACAAACTCCAAGCATTGATTATGCAAGAATGGGCTGCCATCAGTCAGGATGTGGCCCAGAAGTTAATTGACAGCATGCCAGGGCGGATTGCAGAGGTCTTGAAAAAGAAGGGTCAACACTGCAAATATTGACTCTTTGCATAAACTTTAATGTAATTGTCAACAAAAGCCTTTGACACTTATGGAATGCTTGTAATTATACCTCAGTATACCATAGTAACATCTGACAAAAATATCTCATAACACTGAAGCAGCAAACGTTGTGAAGACCAATACTTGTGGTCAAAAGTTTGGAGAATGACACGACTGTACACATCCCCCTCTCCCTTCTACTCCTCCCTCCCCTCCCCTTCACTGTAACTGACTATTTATCTTCCGTTGTCAACTCTCACCCCTTAGCCTTGACGAGGAGCTGAAGGAAGCGGCGCTGAGCTCGACGTAAGCATCGACTCCATTCCCTTATTATTACGGCTGCAGAAACAGAAACTATGTACCACGTCTGTTTTCTCTTAACTAGACTCCCATTTATCACATTATCCTGTTTAAGATCAGAAAGGCTTGTAGGTTGGATCAGCCTGCTCACCTGTGTGTTTGCTCTGATTATTTTCATACATTTATCACATTTCCATATTATTATAGAGTATCTCGAAAGGCATTTGTCTCCCATATCAATAAACCATAGATTACAGTAAAATGATTAATTATGGTGATATATCACAGATGGTGAATAAGACAAGTCTGAGAAAGACATGTAGAATTCCAATGAGAAACATACTCGTTTGACTATATTTGGCTCGGCCTTCCTCACAAGGAATACCATTGATTCAAAATGCTCCACAAAATGTAGCCCTTGATATATTTACCACTGCACCCCAGATTCCCTTCTAACTTTTTTCCCCCTTTCTCCTGTAGTGTGAGCAGCTTCCTCCAGGGACCTGAGCCGACGTCTGGGAGACCAGAGTCAGTAAGACCACTAAAGCCACTTGTTTAAGTGCAGTCTGAAGAGAGATGGCCTTGTCTGGCTTGTCTGTCTTTCATATAAACACCAAGGCTGTGTCCCAAATGGTACCCTATTACCTATAGGGCCCTGGTCAAAAGTAGTGCACTAAGTAGGGTGTAGCTTGCCATTTGGGACGCAAGCCTCTAACATTAATGCCTCTGTTTCATTGGCTTCTCTTCCTCTGCAGAGCCAATAAAACCAACAGGAACAGCTGCTAGACAAAGTGGTGTTCAACACCACTGGATATGGATGGTTGTGGCTTCGCTTCAAAATTGAATTTCACATTGTTTTAAAACACATGATTGTTTCGTGCACTAGAAACAATAAAACAGATGTACTATTCCTGTGTGTTTGTCAGACACGGAGACTATGAAAACACTCCATAATCCCTGTTAGCACTCAGACGTAGTATCCTATAAGACCACCATAACATTAATCTATAGCACCACTGACAGACTTTAGATTAGCACCAGGGGTTTCTTAATCCTGGTCTTTGGGACCCACAGGGGTGCACTGTTTTGTTTATTCCCAGCACTAACACACCTAGTAGCACACCAAGGTCTTGATGATTAGCTGAATAATCAGGTGTGTAAGTGCTGGGTTGGAACAGAAAGTTGCCCAGGACCAGCATTAAGATGCTTGACACTAAATCCACATACCATGATAGTTCGTTAAGGACAGAATTACAATATGGTCACTCACAGTACAGGACACACGTCCATTCTTAGCGTCAAAGTTGTAATGTTGTACTTTGGTAATAATGCATGAGCAACAGTGAAGCAATAATATCTCATCCTTTAAAGGTAGACTCAGTGAAATGCCGTTGCCACGAGCAGCACCGCAGATATTGAGATGAGCAAGATGGAAGACTTCACTCACACAGTATCTGTGCATGTGCACGCGTTCGCTTCACGGTGTCCACAGCGTGGTAGCCCCGGGACCAAAGCAGCGGGGAAGTCTACCTTTAAATGTTAGTCCCCATCTGGAATTTAGACAAGTCATTATGTCCTTGAGACAACAGCACGTCAATGATGGTATGTCAAAATCAATCTGACATATCTATGGCATGCTAAAACCCAGTCACCTTAGGAAACGACCAAGTTACGCTTCTCAATCTTTTTTTAGATCTTATTCTGGATCTTGACAGTGTTTTACCACTAACATCCCTAGATGTTTTCACGTTGAATCAATCTGAAGTATAGAGGATGAACTGTGTAACCATAGAAATATATTTCTGTGTGTAACCAAGTGATGTGTGAAAACAAGCTGTCAGTACATTGTGAGAGCATGTCCTTTCAGATGCCTGTCCTGTGAGTCGAGCGTGCCGTGTGCGTGTGTCCTGTCGGTGTGTGTTTCCGTCAGACTTCCTACATGTTCACCGTCTAGGGCTCTTGCTGCACCAAACAGGATGACCTCAGAGTGGGACAGAAAGAGCAGCGTTTGTCTCTGTAAAGCACAATTTCGCATCCCATGTGTGGGTGTATGCGTGTGTGTCAATGCATGTTTCCTCAGATTGATGGCCTTCTCCAACATTGTGTATAACATGATATGATGGAACACTAAATCAATAAATAGTTTTACGCTGAGCATTGCTCCTGTGTTTTTCCTCACATGCCATCTATGCGATTGTCAGTTGCATTCATTTGTGAATTAAAATGGCCAGTGATGAATTTGCAGCCTTATTAGCTTGTTAGTCATACTTGAAGGTCATTGACCTTTCTATCACAACACCAGGGTCATATCTGTATCGCAGAAGTATCGCGGAAGACTCACAATTGAAATTTAAAAGGCAATGTTCCCGCGTTCGCGGAGACATCAGTCACAGTACACGCTGAATGTCGGCTCATTCGAAAATTACCTTTACATTTTAACGAAGAGCTTCCACGATACAGATTGAATCCAGCCCTTAGCATTTCTTATTGGATAAAAGTCCAGGTAGCCCCTCCCTGTTGGTCTTTTCCGCTTGGTGCCCAACGCATACGAACCGTGTGTTACTATCAGTATTACCAAAACGAAGGTCTTCCAAGTCAATGGTAAATGTTACTTGAAGAACAAAAAACTTTTTCAAAAGTCCATGACAGCAAACTAATTATACAAAGACAAGTGGCAAAACCATAACTTTGATTTAAAGAAGGGCTGCCCAACCCTCTTCCTAGAGATCTACTGTCCTGTAGGTTCTCAGTCCAACCCTAATTTAGCATATCTGATTCAGCTAGTTAAGGTCTTGTTGAGCAGCTAATAAGTAGAATCAGGTGTGTTAAATTAGGGTTGGACTGAAAACCCACAGGACGGTAGATCTCAGGAAGAGGGTTGGACAGCCCTGATTTAAAGTGTTAAACTTCAACACCACCACAATTACAAAAGAGGAATAACATTTTGAAACTGATTTTACGACACAATATTGTATTTCAGGGGTTGTGGTTGAAGTCACAAAATAAACATTTCCCCTAAATGTTAAAAATAACTGGTATTTGACAACATACACAATTGTTTATGAACAGCATTTATTAAACACCCCTCAGCATGAAATAGCTTTTGTTTTATATCAAACGAGGACAAATAAGATGGATGCAAGCCCTGAGAGAAAGAGTCAACGAGAGAGATGAGGCAGAAAGAGTTAAACATCCTGCTAAAGATACATCACCCATCAGCAAAATGTATAGCTCTCATCATTGTACTCCAGCTCATCGTCATCATCCCCTGGCTGTCCGTACCGGAACTTCCTGTAGACCGTTCCACCCTGACCCATGTATTTAACACTTTAACCCCGCCGGCCCGGCCCTCAGTGAGGTCCACCAACTGGGCCTCTGCATTGTTGGGAAGGGCCCGTAAGTAAGCGTTTCACTGTTTACAAAGCATGTGACAAATACATTTTGATTTGTGTTCTATTGCACCAGGCAAGCGCAATCAAGCCCAGATAAAGTATTTGAAATTATTTCAAATAGTGTTCGAACCCTGGTCTGCTCTAAGGGGTATGGCTAGTCAGTATATTGGAACAGAGGACTAGAGCCCACCTTTCCTGTGGAGTCACTCTACTGGAGGGTTGTTCTGACAGCGCCCCCTGGCTGTGAGGATGGCATGGGCATGACAAATGGTGCAGTTGAATGGACCAGTCCAGACAGGAACAGTCGCTGTTCTCATTATCCTGACCAGAGCTGAGGACGACAAGGGGATAGGCGGATATACAAACAGGGTGAATCTCAAAAGTATTTTCTTTGATTCAGGGGGTGAGTTAACTGTATACGCGTGATTCCTTGCCTCCTCGCTCCTTGCCTCAAACTGGTTCTCCCCTTGGACCTTCTCCTCCAATGCATTTTGAGAAGGCATCAATGAGAGAAAATGGCAGGAATCAGCACACAGGCCCAATCTTAATGAACTCCTAGTCCGCTACTTTCAAGGTTTAGATAGCTGGCTAGACTACCTTACCTAGCAATCTAAAAGCTGACATGGGCTAATTGAGTGACTGACCTAGGTGGCTAAAACATTTTTGTGGAAATTGCGCCATGTGTATTTTATTATTCTAACGCTCAACTGTAAGTTGAGACCCAGACAGAGTTGCTAAAAAAAGAAAAGGGAGCAGCGTGTAGGAAGAGGTGGCACTGAGTACTTCATATAGTATGTGGTCCTCTGTAGCTCAGCTGGTAGAGCACGGCGCTTGTAACGCCAAGGTAGTGGGTTCGATCCCCGGGACCACCCATACACAAAAATGTATGCACGCATGACTGTAAGTCGCTTTGGATAAAAGCGTCTGCTAAATGGCATATTATTATTATAGTACAGAGATAGCGTTGCGGTCAGTAAGGCACTGAGTACTTCATATAGTACAGAGATAGCGTTGCGGTCAGTAAGGCACTGAGTACTTCATATAGTACAGAGATAGCGTTGCGGTCAGTAAGGCACTGAGTACTTCATATAGTACAGAGATAGCGTTGCGGTCAGTAAGGCACTGAGTACTTCATATAGTACAGAGATAGCGTTGCGGTCAGTAAGGCACTGAGTACTTCATATAGTACAGAGATAGCGTTGCGGTCAGTAAGGCACTGAGTACTTCATATAATACAGAGCAGTGGCGGCTCCTGAAAAAATTCTCAGGGGGGGCAATTTTTCTGATGATTTAGGTGACCTACACACATTTTAAAAAAGATATGTCCAGCAACAACATGAAGACAGGGGCAGCATATAAGTCAATACCAGAAGCATTTATTGACTGATCTCAAAAGTGTTGGCTTACCAGGGTTGGTGGAGCCCTCAGTTTCATCTTTGCCTCGCAAAGCTAACTCAAACACTCCGCAAAACTTCACACACTGGATTAGCCGGCTGAGGATGTGGCGGTTCTTGCTAATGTCGTAGTAAATATATTTGTTATAGTGAATATGGAATATGATATGTTGAGTAAAATGTTGTGCTAAGATCTATTTAGGTCAGGAGCTGGTTATAAGTTCTGTTCCTATCCAATAACAATGGACAAAAGGGTCCTATCTTGTCAGCCTTGTCAGTTTCAGTTCTCCAGTAAACTTGTGATTATCAACACTAACCTCATCGTTGTGGCGGCGGACAGCTAGCCTGTATCCCTCATCCAGTTGAGTGGGAATGTTCACTCTCCCCAAAGCAGACAATCTCAAACAGCTATCCATGTGGGTCTTTGACAGCTCATGTTTCTTAATCTTTCCTGAAAGATGGTGCATGTCCGTTACACACCAGTCGCTGTCCAAGCGGTGCTGTCTGCCGTGCCGCCTTCAGGGTGAAAGAGTAAGCAGGGGGTAGCAGAAGACTGCATTAGCTACATCGCAGCCTGCTAGCCAGGTTTTTCGTTCGTACCAATTTTTGGAAAATCCTCGGGTGTAGGACTTCCCCCCTTTAGTAGAAACCTGTTGAATTATTAAATTTGGTCTGGGAGGTCCTAATTGTTTCGTTGCCAATTTATCTTCATTTGTTCGCCGACAAAAAGGAACTTCTTTCAAAGACACAATCGAGTTGCACTGAAGCCTAGCCATTTTGATAGTAGTAGTGAATTGATTGACGCTCACGCTGCTACCCGCTCTTTTCTTAGTTACGTTCATGGTTATGTTACGTATGACGAAAGCGCGTAAGTGCAAGCCCTCAGAAACCCATAGAGATTGTATTGAAAGCTCTGATATTTGAAAAAAATAGATTTTACATGGGAGTCTATGAGAGACTTCTGGGCGATTTTCAACCTGACTGAAATCGCCCCAAAAGGGGGGGGGGGGGCATTTGAAGCACGACTTTAGCCTGATTGGACATTTAGTGGCACTGTGGCAGATCAGACGTCTAGATTACAACACTGATAACTACTGTTGCCGTGATATAATTGATTAGAAAAAAAATCCCTTCCTTTTCCCGTTTGGCAGTGCGTCGCCCATATCGCCCTATTGAACACACCGCCCCTGGTACAGAGATAGCGTTGCGGTCAGTAAGGCACTGAGTACTTCATATAGTACAGAGATAGCGTTGCGGTCAGTAAGGCACTGAGTACTTCATATAGTACAGAGATAGCGTTGCGGTCAGTAAGGCACTGAGTACTTCATATAGTACAGAGATAGCGTTGCGGTCAGTAACGGGTGTTTGCGGTTACCTGCACCACAGGGTATTGACCCATGTTGCAGTGGGACTCACATCCCCTGACAGTGTGTAGCCCATGTGACATGAGTCACACGGCTGGGATCATTTTCCTTGACATTGTTGGGCACTTGTACATGGTATGACATTACAGTGCATTGTTTTTCTCTCAATGGATTTAGTGAGTCAATTTAATGTCACAAGCCTGTCTCATGTGTTTAATGGAAAGGTCGATATTCAATCACGTGAAAAAAAGTCACACGGTTGG